TGGGCATCGGTCAGCGGGTGGTGAGCAATTGTACTGTGCATCATTTGCTTCGTATATTCTTTTATTATTATTGTTATTATTAGTACTATTTTATTTTATTTCAATTATTAAACTGTTCTTATCTCAACCCACGAGTTTTCTCACTTTCACTCTTCCAATTCTCTCCTCCGTCCCACCAGGGGTTGGGGGACAGTGAGCGAGCGGCTGTGTGGTGCTCAGCTGCTGGCTGAGGTTAAACCACGACAGCAACACAGACCAGCAAGTCCACTTGCATTTCTGCTGCAACTTGGCTTAGTTCATATGGCTCATAAGGTCAAGTAGGGAACAAACTCCTAGTCGAGGTGTCAACCCTGTTGCCACATCTGTCTGACTTCAAATGCTCAAGGTCACAATAGCTGGTGTTCTGCAGATGAGCAGTGATGTGTGTTGGTGGAGCTGCAGATGGGAGCACTCTGCGGAACATGGAAGAACAGCACCATGCTCTGCTAACACTCAACATTTCTGTCATCAGCACCAAGTTCAAATTAGCTGGGATGCAAGCCAGGAGGATGCAATGCAACAGGGAACACAGGGCTGAAAATCAGAAGCGAGCATGCATTAACCACTGGTGGTCCCTGGGCTGCCCCGCTCCTGCCCAGCTCACCTTTGAAGTAGGCAGCAGAGACTCCACAGCTGCAGGATCCATCGAGGGCCTGGACCAGAGTCATCAGAATCTCTTCTGACTTCAAGAGCCACTCCTGGCAATCTAGGAAACAAAAAGCCAAATGTTACCCAGCCAGCGCAACCTTGGTCATGGGACCCAGCTCATCCTGGGATGGGTGCAGCTCAGCACCTGCTTATCACTCAGAGGGCCCGAAAAGGCTTCTCTTCACCCCGAGCAGTTGGGTGTGGGAATGAAGACTGGAGAAGCTCAGCTTGGCATGGATTGCCATGAAGAAAAATATTGCAGAAAATTGTCAGATGTCCTAGTTGTGTTTCCTTTGGTGTTACGTTCACACAACCCAGCACGACTCTTCCTGGACAGCTCTGGCTTTGTGCATGTGCTCTTGTCCGTAGGAGGTCCTGCCTACAGGAGCAGGAATAACTCATACCCACCTGCTACACGAAGGCAGAAGGAGACAGTCTGGCTGAAGCGTTTGCTGGGGCAATCATTGAACTTGCCAGGGGTGGGCCTGCTGAGGATGTAGGACAAGGAGTCCCGGGTCACAGAGCAGCAGTTGCACTGGCTCATGGACACATCTCCCAGCTGGTGCCTACAAGAGACAGACATGCAAATGAAAGAAAACATGACCTGCCAGCCAGGGACCTGAGTGCTCTTCACCCACCAGTCACACCTGCCTGCACCAGAGGGTGAAACCACGCATTTATAGTCTTCTCCCTTCACAAGGTTTGGAGAGATATCCCATCCTCATCAGTACCTACTTCTCTCAAAAAAAAGCCCAAGAGCTCACTAAATCTTGAGAGAGAAGAGCATGGGCTTCATCCAACCCTTTCTCTTCTAGCACTGGCTGCTTTTTTGACCTATCTGAAGGCAGGCAAGATAGTACAGACACACTCGTGCTCAGCCTGGGACCACTGGGAAGAATAGTGGGGTGCAGGTAGAGAAACTGGAAAGGCAGCACCTGAGGATGAAATGCTTGACCAAGAGCCCTCCACTCAAAGGCAAAGAGGATGAAGCCTCCCTGTGAGGAGCTGCACAGAGCAGAGCTGCTCAGAGCTCCTCAGGGAAGGAGACCACCTCCTTATGGGACAAATGCAGATTTTGTTTCACAAGTGGGAGGAAGACGAGCAAAGGAAGGAAGAGGAATATGCTGTAAATAAGTGGTGACCCTGTCATGGGAGTAAGCTACACCCTTTCTGATGCAGTTGATTCCACTGTAGTCTCAAATGGTCTTTTCACAGGCCCATCCAGAAAGGGTGAATCTCCTCCAGCTACAGAGCCAGGATATTGGTATGTAGTTGACAATTACACACAGAGGTCAAAGTGGTGCTTTGCCATCAAAACCACAGGCAAGAGCTTGCCCAGATTTTTTTTGCTTATTGCTTACACCCCACCCCATCTTCATGCGCACGGCACCTCGCTGCCTCTGTTCCTCCACCTGCTCTGCTGTCCTTTACCCACTCTGTTGCCCTCTTTCTCCCATTAGTAGAGTATGCCTAAAATGTGAAGGAAACAGTTCTCATGTCTCACAAAATTCTGAGGTTACTAACATTTCCCTTAACCCACAAAGACAAAAAGAAACCCAAAAGCCAAAAAGGAAGTGGCTCAACCCAGAATGAACAGTAACTCAGCTCCCAGTCCTTGGTTTGGATGAGGCAGGGCAGGGATTTCCTCCTGGGTCAGACGAGCAATACTGAAGTCCCTCCCTCGCCCTCATTTTGACCTAAAATTCCATCCTGAACCTAAGAAAAACCTTTTCTTGTCAAAAGTGGTACTGGAAAATTTATGATATTGACCATTACACTTTAATAAATAATAAATAATTATAATTCTAAAATAATAACCAGCAATCATTTGGTCAGAAAATTCCTCCTCAAGTACTTTATTCTGCAACTGTACAGTGCACCAGGACTGCTGGGGAGAGGAGGACACCTACAAACTCAGACCAGGCGGTGGAAAAAGGCCGGGACTCAATACCGCCACGAGGAGACCCTGGTCTGGAGGTGGCCCTTGCCTTCCAGTCCTGACCGGGGTTTGGGACAGCAGGCAAGGGCGATTCTGGTGCCAAATTCTCCTCCCAGACCTGCCCAGCCTCTCACCGCTTTTCCACGTAGGCAGGTCTGCCAGGGGTCAGGGTCTCCAGCAGCTCAGGGTTCGGTTCCTCATTGCTCGTGTACACGAAGGCATCCAACAGGCCAGTCACCGGCAGCGCCTTCCCTGGGACAAAACTGCTGCTGTTGCCTCTGTAGAGGGCAATGGCACTGGGGCCGCCTCGGAGGAGAGGACGGGTGGTGTTCTCCGGGAACGGCAGATCCACTGCACACCAGCAAGGAAAGAAACAACAATGGCACGTAAGCAACACATGAGCGATACCCACTATGTAGGAAACCAGCATCTCTTCGGTCCTGGAGAGCAGGACACAGGAACTCAGAAAGTGGTTGGGGTTATCTGGTTATTCCAGATTTGGCATCCGCTGGCCCATCTTTCTGCTCACTAACATTTCTCATGTTCGCTCAGGCTGAATTTCCCCATTTTTGGCCAGATCCACAGCATGGAGGAGGCTGGAGGGGGAAATCTGAGCAGAGTTCATCCTGCTATTTTGGTTCTGCGAACAGAGAAGCTGATTCATGCGTAAGCAGGGGAACTGGAAAGCAAGTTCTGATGTGACTTTGTCTACAGTAACATCAATTTTTAATTCTAAAAGAGATCTGCAAAATCCACTAAACTTTCAGGTGGCAGTTATTTTAATAGTACACAGAAATATTTAAGAATTTACATTTTATTCTAGCATTTAACAGTCCATTTTTTTTACAAGCACAAACACTCTACACATACACACACACACGTATACACACACACATATTCAGCAAAGGCCCAAGATGCCACCATACAGAATTAAGGTTGAGGTTTGGTGGAGCCTCCCAATTTCATGGGCTTCCCAATTTCCTTCCTCATATTTACTGTTCCCTTCACAAGCTACCTCCTCAGCACCCAGCAGGAACTGCTGAGGCTATTAAAAAGCAGCAGACTGCTGATATTTCAATACTTCTGCCTGGATAAATGGCTCCAGGGAACAAACATTAAAGGAGGAATCACATGAGAGGCAGAGGGGTAAGGAGAAGTGATTACTCCTTGAGAAGTGCCACCGGGGCACCTGCACACTAAGGGGCAGTCCTGTCCCTTAGCCCTGATGCACCCCTGCACAGGGGGCTGGTTTTCCCCTGCCTGACTAATCTGGTGGCCTTCTACGATGGAGTGACTGCGCTGGAAGATAAGGGAAGAGCAACCGATGTCATCTACCTTGACTTCTGCAGGCCTTTGACACAGTCCCATACAACAGCCTTGTCTCTAAACTGAAGAGGTATGGGTTTGATGGATGGACTATTAGATGGATGAGGAATTGGCTGGATGGCCGCGTCCAAAGAGTTGCGGTCAACAGATCTATGCCCAAATGGAGATCAGTAACAAGTGGTGTCCCTCAGGGGTCCGTATTGGGACCGATATGGTTCAATATCTTCATTAATGACGTAGGCAGTGAGTGCACCCTCAACAAGTTTGCGGATGACACCAACCTGAGTCATGCAGCTGATACACTTGAGGGACGGGATGCCATGCAGAGGGACTTTGGCAGGCTGGAGGAGTCAGCCCATGTGAACCTCATGAAGTTCAACAAGGCCAAGTGCAAGGTCCTGCACCTGGGTGAGAGCAATCACCAGTATCAGTACAGACTGGGGGATGAATGGGTAGAGAGTAGCCCTGCAGAGAAGGACCTGGGGATACTGGTGTATGAAAAATCAGACATGAGCTGGCAATGTGCGCCCGCAGCCCAGAAAGCCAATTGTATCCTGGCTGCATCAAAAGCAGCGTGGCCAGCAGGTCAAGGAGGTGATTCTGCCCCTCTTCTCCACTCTCATGAGACCCCACCTGTAGTACTGCGTCCAGCTCTGGAGGTCCCAGCGCAAGAAAGACATGTTAGAGCAGGTCCAGAGGAGGGCCATGAAAATGATCCAAGGGCTAGAAGAACCTCTCTCATGAAGAAAGGTTGAGAGAGTTGGGGTTGTTCAGCCTGGAGAAAAGACTCTGGGGAGTCTTGCAGCCTTTCAGTACTTAAAGGGGGCTTATAAGAAAGATGGGGACAGACTTTTTACCAGAGCCTGTACTGATAGGACGAGGGGTAATAGTTTTAAACTGACAGAGGGTAGATCTAGATTAGAAGAATAAGGAAGAAAAGTTTTACAATGAGGGTGATGAGACGCTGGACCAAGTTGCCTAGAGAAGTTGTGGATGCTCCATCCCTGAACATGTTCAAGTTTAGGTTGGACAGGGCTTTGAGCAACCTCATCTAGTGAAAGATGACCCTGCCCACAGCAGGGGGGGATGGAACTAGATGATCATTAAAGGTCCCTTCAACCCAAACCATCCTATGATTCAACTGAAAGTTTTCACACTGGCATCTGTCAAGGGAGGACTTTTGCTCCGGCGCTCTCACAGCTTTAAGTTCTCTGCAGTGACAGGCAGACAAGCCGTACAAAGACAGGACTAACAGCCCGGGCCATTTTAAGAGCTCCTGTCCCAAATCTGAAGTGGTCAGGTTAAATCAAGTGGTCAACTTCTCACAGAGTGCTCAGCATGGAGTGACTATGAAAGTATCCTTTTAAGATGATTAAAATGTAATTACACAGTGTCATTGGGTGTTTTTTTGGGAAAAACCTTCCACAAAAATGTGTGTGCAGTATGCTTGAGACATCTTGACAAAGCCTCGTTGGAAAAAAATGCCAAAGCGTATCTCCAGTCACCTTCTTGACTTGAGTGAGCCTTGAGGAACAGTTGAACATAATCCTTAGAAATTTCCTGCTTAGTCTGCAAGCTGGTTGTGCTTTCACATCGCTTTCTTTGAACTCCCTTAGCTTACTGACTGCTAACAGCCCCAGCTCATCCAGAGGTAAGAGCAGAGCAGCTTTTCTGGTGAGAAAAGCAGAGCTCAGTTGGACAATCTGCTCTTCTAATTGTGGTGAGAGAGTATTTGGAGCAGTTTAAATTGTAAAAAGGAGCTCAACTGCTTTAAAAAAAAAGAAATGTTAGTTGCAGAAGTATTTTTATTTTTATGGGAACCAGCTTTGTAAGGGATGAATATACTCCCTGACTCAGAAATCATGAGTCAGTGAATTACACAAGACATCTGCAGAGTCAGTGTCTCCAGCTGCCAAAATCTTCTTTTGAGGTGTCCAAAATAACAAGATATTTCTTCCTCCTCTGGTGGCCTGGGAGAAATTTTGAACGTTGGGAGGAAGTTTATATTGCAGCTTCTCACAGCCGATACATGTGTGACCTGCACTTGCAGATGGCGCAATGGAATGTGCTTTTTTGACAAGAGAGTATGTATGTGCTGTGAGTGACCACCAAGTTACACACAGAGAAGGGGGACACGTCAAGGAGACGTGGCACAGCCAGGGTCCTGCGGCAGGCTGGCCACAGGGCTGGGAGCAGAACCATGTCCTCCCGAGCAGCAAAGGCACACGTGGGCTTCTGACCTCCACGAGGTCCCTCATCTGGAGCTCTGCAGGTCTACTGCTACTGCGAGACATACCACCTCCACTTGTTTGTCCTGAAACCACCTCCTTTTACCTTCTTTGATGCCCTTTAGTTCTTGTACCAGGAGAAAGAGTAAGCAATCAATCCCTGTCCACTTTCTTCAGGCTACTCACATTTCTGAAACCTCTGTCAGGGCCCTCCTAAGCTTTCCCTTTTTTAGGCGTACTTAGTTATTTCTTCTGTGGAAGCATTGCCAGAGCACTATCCATCCTAGCTGACCTTCTCTGAATGTCTCCAATTCTAATATATCCTTTTTGAGATGAAGGTATCGTACCACACAAGACACAATTAAAGATACAAGCAAACCATGAATTTATACAGTGGCATAAAATATGGCCTCCATTCTTTCCTCTTCCCCTAAAAATTTCTAATGTTTAATTCGCTTTGTATAATTCCGTTTCCAATAATTTCTAACATTTGAGTTGCTTTTTTATCTGCCACTGAGTTCTGAGTCACATTTTCAGCAATCTCTCAGAGTGCTGAACAACAGTAAAAAAAGACAGCATCCTCCAGCCCCAAATTTGGCTGATCGCTCCCCCAGCTCTGAGGTAGTCATCAAAACGCAGTCCTTACCTGGGGTTTTGCTTTGTGCTGGACCGATCAGAAGTAGCCCATCCAGTGAGGTTTTTCCGTAAACGTCCATAGTGAAATAAATGTCTTTGGTCAGACCATCGATCAGCACCAGAACAATGTCCCTCAGCATGGTGGAGTGGGGACCCTGAAGCTCTATGAACTCGAACTCTTCAGAAGAAGAGGCAGCGAGGACCTCACTGATCAGGACAACAGATGCATTCAGCTGAGAACTTAGGATGC